CCTTACTAAGGTTCACTGTCTCAGGGGGAAAATCGTCTAAGGAGCCCAGGAAAAAGACTATATCCCAACATGTGGTACTGGGAAAGTGAATGACTCTAATGACAGGCTACTTGGATGGTTTCCAATTTTTGCTTTCAACAAACTGAAGTGGGGGTTGGTAGGCTCATTTAAATAGCCTTTACTAATACTTCAGCATAAAATTCAAGAAGTGTTTTAAGACTTGAGTGACACTGCTATAATAAAACTCCTCAAAATTTCACCTACTCATCTGAACATATGCTCTGAACTCACACCAAAGAGGCAAAAGAAGGGAAAGTGGAATAAAACTGATACTCAGCCTGGTTTCAATAATCATCATACACAAAAATACAAACTAATGAAAGAAAAAACTACTGATCTCATTAAGAGATCTATTTCCCATAAGGTTTTACTTATATTTAAGAATTTATATTGACTTTTAAAAAAAATATAAAACAGAGTCTTGCTCTGTCGCTAAGCCTGGAGTGCAGTGGCACGATCTCAGCTCACTGCAACCTCCACTTCCCGGGCTCAAGCGATTCTCATGCCTCAGCCTCCTGAGTAGCTGGGACTACAGGTGAGCGTTACCAGTACCAGCTAATTTTTTGTATTTTTAGTAGAGACGGCATTTCACTATGTTGGCCAGGCTGGCTTGCACTCCTAACCCTAAGTGATCCACCCACCTCGGTCTCCCAAAGTGTTGGGATTACAGGTGTGAGCCACCACGCCCAGCCTTAGTATGTCTGTATTTTGATCAACTGTGTACTAATGACAACTCGGACCTGAAAGTGTTTTTAATAAATTAGAACATTATCATCCAGAAAACACTACTGCAATTTTGACTTAAATGTGTATTTTTGACATGGAGAATTTTGAGGAAGAGGCTAATGTGTGAGGAAACTAGAAAGAAAATAATGAGTTCAAGGAGAAAAAGGAACAATGTAAAATTTTCACCTCTAAGAAAATGGGTAATTGTGAGTTTCATATTACTCTGGTATATTCAGTCTCCAATGTATACTTTTAACTTTAAAATCCTACGATAAAAAATATATTGCAAATAACATCCTTTACAATGACTAAAACTTGGGATAAACATTTTCAAATATCAACTACAAAGGCCGACGCGGGCAGATCACCTGAAGTCAGGAGTTTGAGACCAGCCTGGCCAACATGGTGAAACCCGTCTGTACTAAAAATACCAAAAATTACTCAGGACTAATGGCAGGGGCCTGTAATCCCAGCTACTCAGGAGGCTGAGGAGAATCACTTGACCCGGGAAGCAGAGGTTGCAGTGAGCCGAGATCACACCATCGGACTCTGACCTGGGCAACAAGAGTGAAAGTCTGTCTTTAAAAAAAAAAAAAAATGTAGTGGGTATACAAAATTTTTCAAACTTCTTCTAGGGATAAACAGGCCAAAATGTATAAAGACCTCCGCTATTGTGGTCACTGGCTGGCACCTCCAGAAAGAAAAGGAGACACAACTGTGCCAAGTACCTCTGCATAATCAGGAACTGCAAATGTGTGGTTCAGAGGATCCTTTCGGCTATCACCCCTATCAGAAGGAAGCTCCATGCTCCCTCCAATCTTCTGGCAGGGGGAAAACGTGTCTATCCCTCCCCAAATATCCATATATGTGATTGTTTGATCAGCTTTTCTACGGAGAACATATAGAGTCTTACAGTGTGTTAATTATATAACCAAAGAGTAAACAATATATTGTAGATGGACCACAGTGGCTCTCAAAACAAACAGTAGAATAAAATATGTAAGCATCTGAACACGCAAGGACTCAGTCTGGCTGGGTTACAACTTTGCCTACTCTGGGCCTTCAGTCCTCAGAGCTCTGCAAGGAAAACAGAGGAGCACAGGGTGCCCGAGCTGCATCTCCCCATGATCTGTTCTCCAGCCTGGCAGAGGGCAGTGGAAAAAGGTGGCACTCCAGAATTTCTTCAGGAGAACTATTTATGGTCAGACCTTTTAGAAACATCAGGTCTTCCTGAATGCCTCCTTCCTCTGCCCAGCTACAGGCATGCGGGGCACTGATCAAATGCTGCATGAGTCACTAACGTTCAGCCAGTGGCTCAGATGGTGATGGAGTAGCCTGGGCACCAACAGCTTTCAAAAAAGACAAAAAGCAGGCTAAAAAATGATCAATTTTCTTTGGACAAAATACAGAACAGAATTTTAACATCAATCCTACTATTCTACTAACCACAGTGATGATTCTTTCAAAATCTTAATGAGTAAAGCAGCAGTTTCATTCAGTAAACTATTACTATTTTGCAACTGAAAAAAAAATCCAACCTTATTATAATGTGTAATTGTTTAAGCTATTGACTGCCTATCAAAAGAACAGATATTAAGGCTATCATTATCAAAACAATTCTTGATATTAATTTCAGCTGAATGAACATTGGCCAACTGTTTTAACTTCTCTGTGTAGAAAAAGAGTTGACTTACAAAAAATAGTGTTTTTTTTTTTAATTAAGTATTAGATAAATGAAACAACTATAGCTCCAATTGCTTAGAAGAGAAGAAACATAAATTTTGACTGACTTACTAGTCAAGTGACCTGGGCATTTTACTTAATTCTCAGTGCCATGTTTTCATCTGTAAAATGGAAACCATAGTACCGCCTCATGTATAAATGTGAGATGTGAATTAACACAGAAAAGTCATTTCTTTTGAGCGAGGAAGTGCTCAATATAGGACAGCTGCTACTGACTTGAATTTAAACCTTCAATGAATACAACCTAAGTACCTGGAATTCCAAATTACCTGTTACTTTACCGTCCTATCTTTTTATTTAAGGAGAGTAGGAAAAAGTAAAAATGAATGTTTCATGCCCTTAATCAAAACATCTTCGAAACTGGGGACCAGTACACATCATTTTCATTTGGCCACTGTATAATGGTCACTGGGATTGAGAAAGGTGAGCCTTTGCTCATCAGCTGGGGGTAAACCTCCCCACTTAGTTCTTTTGTTGGGGCATTACTGACCCTCTCTAGGCCTCAGTATCCAGATCTGTGACATGGACATCAGTACACATGTCACAGGGGTGCTGAGAGGATTCAACTGACATGTGCATGAACTGAGTAATGTGTACCTCCTGACAAACAGTTCATAAAATTCCTCAAAATTTTAAATCAACTAAGGGGATTTTTCATTGATCCTAAGTTTCCACGAAAATTCAGTTTGCTGGCATTTTAGTGAATTAAACCTGGTGGGTTAAGGATAAGAGTACAAAAAGCATCTCCTCCACACCTCTAATGTTCTTCACTGACCATTTTTCTCTGTTCTCTTTTGTTTTCATGCTTCTGTGGTATCTGTAATTTGTGTTTGTCTCTCACTTCCTTTTACAAATACAGCTAGGATACAAATCATAATATTTAAGACCGAGTCTAATTTCATCAGGTATTCTGGCTTTAAGTGGACACACGTAGTCATGGGGGGGGGCCCTCTGTGCTCTCACAGAACCTGGGCACCATCTAAACCAAGTCACTGGTCATGTACCATCTAACAGGAGGGGACAGCCAGGAAGTCATCACGTGACGTGCTGGTCAGTGTCAAATGATACCAAGGAGCTGAGGAAAGATAATCCCTAATAAAGAAAACAGGCCAGAATTTCTTATACCTTGCACACAAATGTCCAGCTCCTTTATGATATGAATGACAACTGTTTTAGTAGCTGCTTTCACCATGAAATATAGTCAAGAATTTTATTTTTCTTACTATATAGTTCTGATTTTTAAAAAAACTTCTTTATGTGTTTCTTACTTTATGTAATAGAGAACTGCAGACACAGGATGAAATTTTATAGGTCTGCAGCAGGAATAGACTCTGCAACAAATGCCCTAAGAACATAAACAAGCATACTTCAAAGGCCACCACAACAATGGGTGCCCAGGGAGTTGGTAACCGGAGGCAAGGAGGGCCCTAGGCTACTGCGGAATCCGGAACCGCATGCCCACAAGTCTGCAGCCCAGGGATGCCCCTGCAGTGGTAGCTGTCACAGGCACTGGGAAGGTCCTGCATCTGAGGATCACTGGGGGCAGGGATGTGGGTGTAGACTGGGACAGAGCTGGTAACCTCCTCCAGCTTAAAGACGTCTTGAGGAGGTTTGCCAAACAAAACGTATGAGAAAAGTTTTAGCAACAATAATGTCAGAAGTGACTATAAATCATAAGGAACTGTAAGTCAAGTAGTGCTAGCTGATTGTTTTCTACAATTTCTTCCTCCCCAAGGGCTCTGAACTCAGTTCCTGGATTCCCAGTCCATAGAGACCCCACTCCCCAAACAATAGTCTGCAGGTGTCCTACTAATAATCCTCACCTAAACTGAAGACTGGCCCATCTGAGAAACCCTGACACTGCCCAAAGAGTAAGGGGAGTGGACAGCTCTCAGTCTCCACGCCCCCCAAGGCCGATGCCCCTCCATGAGCTGTGTTCATGCTGCAAGTGGGAGCCCCGGGACACAAGGCTGACCTGAGGCAACTGAGCCTGCAAAACATGACAAAAAAGTGGATGTTTCTCTGTGAAACTAAACAAAAATATAAAATATTTTAGCTTTTGTGCTTTTTGGATTGGCTTATTGCCTACAAAGGACTGTATGGGGGCATTACCTCCCTGTGATCAGTCTGCAGTGAGATACGAAGCCCAAATATAAACATCACAGGCTGCTATCAGTGCTGGACCACACCTTTCTAATTAAAGGAGTGTTTGCCTACAATATAGTTTCCGTAAACCAGTTTCACAAAACCAGGAGGTGTCACCAGTACCTGTTCATGATCCACATAATGAGAAACGCAGGTTTTCATATGTAATATTCCATAGCCATGCCCCCGTGGTACCAGCTCACAACAGACATTCAGTCAAATGCATTCATTCTGCACTATACAGACCATTAAAAAAGGAGGCAGCTTTCTTTCCAAATGGTCTGGCAAAGACTCTGATGGCCACCTGCCCCCGTTCCCCTACTCACATGTCCTCCACCGTGATGTCTTTCAGGATTTGGCAGTAATCCACATTCCATACAGCCTGGTCATCCCACACCTTGGAGGCCAGCAGGATCGCCCCTAAAACAATCCGCTTCCAGTTGGCCGGACAGATATCTATCTCTGCATATGTTAAAAGTCTTTCAAGGTACACCTGGGAAGACAAGACAATGCCAGAGCTAAGTGATTTGTTTTCTCCTAAACACCAGCACACCTCAAGAAATGCTAAAATATTATGTATCATATCCACCTTTAAATGGGAATTTATTACCCAATCATATTTATTTTGAAAAGGCCAAAGGGCTCAATGAGTCTGATGAAACATGGGCTAAAAGTCCCACTCCGTCAGTGGACAGTGTGGGTGCAGCTGGATCTTAAACAGACTCTGTGGAGGAACCAATTCCAGGAAGCACAGGCTAATTTCTCACTCTATCAACTGTGATATCCATACATGTTAATGAATGTTCCAACAGAAAGGATAGAGAATACACTTATTTTTTTTTGTTTGTAGGTTTTTAAAAATTAAGCTTTTTGTTTTGAGGTAACTGTAGATACACATGCAGTTGTTAAGCCTATCTTTTAATTATTGTGGTAAAATATACACAACATATAATTTACCATTTAACCATTTTCAGTTCAGCGGCATTAGGCACATTCACACTGTTGTGTTGTTTCTGCAGTGTGGTGGGTACCACACTCACCTGACACACTGCTGTGCAACCATCACCACCATCCATCTCCAGAACTTTATCATCTTCCCAAACTGAAACTCCACACCCGTTAAATAATAACTCCCCACTTCCTCCCGCTCTGCAGCTACTGGCAACCACCATTCTCTATGAATCTGTCTCTATGAATCTATTTTTGGCACATGATATTGGTAGAATCATCAAATATTTGTCCTTTTCTGTCTGGCTTATTACCACTTCGTGTAATGTCTTCAAGGCTTACCCATGTTGTGGCATGGGTCAGAACTTGCTTCCTTTTTAAGACTAAATCATATTCAACTGTACGCTCATACCCCATCGTGTTTATCCATTCATCTGTCAATGAACATTTGAGCTATTTCCTCCGTTTGGCTATTGTGAACAATGCAGCTATGAACCTTGGTGTACAAACATCTGTCTGAATCCGTGCTTTTAATTCCTTTGGGTACATACCCAGAGGTGGAATTGCTCGATCATAGGGTAACCCTATGTTCAATTTTTGAGGAGCTGACATACCATTTTCCACAGTATGCACCATTTCACATTTTGGCAATGCACAAGGATTCCAATTTCTCCACATCCTCCCTAACACTGCTTATTTTTCTGTTTTGTTTTGGTAACAGTCGTCCCGATGGGTGTGAAGTCGTGTATCATTGTGATTATGATTTTATATACCTATTTTTAAATCATTAAAATGATTGGAAAATAAAACCAAGTAATATAGGATTTCTAAACTGACAGAATTTAGGTTGAAGACAAACATTAGACATACCTACAAAGTCCAGTAAGTTGGGCCACGAGGTAAGAATGCCTTTTTTAGTTTCCCATAGTAAAACTGTTTATTATGGATAGTATGTCTTAACACTTCTCTGAACTATGAAATTACTACTACAGTTTTTATCAAATGCATTTGCAAAGTGAAAATGTATCAGAAAAAAAAAACAATTAGACATCATCTATGCTTTAAGAACTTGCAGATAAAACCCATTAATGTTATAATTATTCATAGTATATAATGTCCATAAAGTCTTAAATATTGCAAAACGCAAAAAGGCACATGTGGAAAGGAAATGTTTATACATAAATAAAATACAGATTATTTTCAGTTAAATGATACCAACATTCCCAAATGGAATGGGAAAGGTTTGTTGTTGTTTAGTTTTAAAAAGGAAGAATTCACACCTGTTACTTCTTTAGGATGTTCTTGAGACATCTTAATGAAGTTTAGGAAGTTCTTGAGAAAAAGGGTAATTAACACTGACTCTTACGGGATGCGAATGCACAAGGCCTGTGAGGGGACCCAACAACCACAGAAGGTGGACTGCTATGGAAGAACCCCAGGTCCCAGCTTGCACAGCTAGGTAGGTGCTGTTCTCTGGGACAGGGTGCACTGGGGAGGAAGAGGTTGGTAAAAGATGGCAGGCCTAACTCTGGATGATTTCTGTCTTGAAATGTCCTAGAGGATGCCACATAAGTAGTGAACACACAAGTCTGGAGCTCCAAGAAGACAGCACTGGGGTGCCAGTCTGAGAGTCTGTGACAGGCAGAAAGAGCAAAGCCAGGGGCAAGGGACCTGGGGGAGGCTTAAGAACTAAGAAAAGGAGGGGCTGGGCCTGAGACTGGAGAGTCCCTTCCATTTTAAGGGCTGGAGACAGGATGAAGGGGCAGCAAAGGAGAGGGAGGAGTAAAACCTGGTATGTGGTGTTCTTGTTGAGTCTTGTAATAGTTTGGAAAAGAACTTCTAAGGCAAAGCTGTGTTTGCAAGTGCCTAAACTAGGCTTACAACATTATATGGGGCATATGAGAAGGAAACTGAAGGGGTCTCTTGCACAATAAAACATTAAATTGGAAGATCAAGGATTCTAGAGGCAATGACTGTGCAAGTGGCGGGGCAGGAGAAGCAGCAGGTGGGTTCAGGAGGGGGGAGGCCAGGGAGAGAAGGGCAAGTGAGTAAGGGTAGAGGGACAAAAGCAGTGGCGGGGAAGACAGGGTGGAAGAAGGGGATGGACGAACAATCCTTAATGGAAGCAAAACTCTGGGCAGATTAAGGATAAAAAGACCATCAGTGAGCAGCACAGGGTCACCAGCACTGTAGGGTCATGGGCCATGAGCAGCGCAGGGTCACAAGCAGCGTAGGGTCACATGGCTTGACCAGCTCCTCTGCAGAGCCCCCCACCCCTCATTCCTAAACCACAGACAGAGTGAGAGGGTCTAATGCTCCCCACAGCAACCAGAAGCTTCCTTGTGGCATATTTTGCCAGGTGCAGTTGTGAAGCCCCTGAGAAACTGGTGGGGTGGGGAGGGGGAGGTCAGACTCTTCTCGGTCTCTTCCAGAGAAACAGGGATTTTGGCGTGGTGAGGGGTGGGGGGTTTGGCACCCAAATGTTTGCTGAATGAAAACATCCATGACTAATTGTTCTCTTGCTTAAAAAGATTACTGTTCTGTGTTCAGTGCTTTAATAATGAAATAGCAATTTTTTAAATTTTAAAAACTGGGATTTTTATAGCTTATCAGATGTTCCTTAGAATAGATCAGGGCACCGTACTGAAGACAAAGTAAAAATCCTAAAAAGAAAGTACGGTTGACCCTTGAACAACACAGGTTCAAGCTGTGTGGATCCACTAATATGCAGATATTTTTGTTAACAGCTACACCGAATGCACCTGACTCTCCTGCCTCCCTTCCACCTTCTCCACCTCTTTTGCCTCCACAGCCCCAGAGGCAGCAAGACCAATCCTTCCTCCCCTCCTCAGCCTACTCAACATGAAAACGACCAGGATGACGACCTTTATGATGATCCACTTCCACTTAATGAATGGGAAATATATTTTCCTGGCTGGGCGCGGTGGCTCACATCTGTAATCCCAGCACGTCAGGAGGCCAAGGTGGGCAGATCACAAGGTCAGGAGATCAAGACCATCCTGGCCAACATGGTGAAACCCGATCTCTACTAAAAATACAAAAATAAGCTGGGCATGGTGCACATGCCTGTGGTCCCAGCTACTTGGGAGGCTGAGGCAGGAGAACTGCTTGAACCCAGGAGGCGAAGGCTGTAGTGAGCCAAGATTGTGAAATTGCACTCCAGCCTGGTGACAGAGCAAGACTCCATCTCAAAAAAAAAAAATATATATATATACACACACACACACACACACACACACATATATATTTGTCCTTATTTTCTTAACATTTTCTTTTCTCTGGCTTACTTCATTGTAAGAATACAGTACAGTATACATATAACATGCAAAATAATCAAATATTTATGTTATAGGTAAGGCTTTCAGTCAACAGTAGGCTATTAAGTTTTGGGGGGGGTCAAAATTCCATGTGGATTTTCAACTGTGCAGGGTTCCATGCCTCGAACCCTGGAGTTGTTCATGGGTCAAGTGGAGTAACACGTTTGAAATCCCAAAGGCAAATAGCCAGTAAGCTGTCGTAAGAGGTTCTAAGTATACTAATAATAAAATGGAAAACCATTATAGGGAAAGTCCACCTTGACCTTCCCAAATTAGTTGGGTGACCCTCCCCTTGCTCCGAGTGCTGCATTTATCTCAGGGTAGGGTAAGGGCCTCTTCCCTGGATAGGAAGCCTGGATAAGCCCTCATCTCATCCCCAGTACGCGCGGCATCTAGCACAGGGGCCGGCAGTGTGTGTTCCCTGAATGCTTCATGGACACATGGTCCCCTGCAGGGATGACGAGTGGCCTGCATCCACACAGGGCTCCAGCAGGCTACTGAAAGAGCTTTGAAAGGACAGGTTTCCAGCACAAGGGAAGTCGGCAGGACTACATATGAGAGTGATTTGCTAGTAAAACGACCACAAATAATGGCATTCAGGAAAGAGAACTGCATTGACAAAGGTGTAGTGAACTAAGGGAAACTGAGTCCTTGGCTTGTGAGACAGGTGCAGTGGTGAACAACAGAGGCGGCAGCTATGGGCACACAGGAAGCCAGAGAGACTTTCAAATAAGGCCCAGGAAGTCATAAAGCATGGCATTGTAACTGCACTGGAAAGGCCTTTGTGGGAGTTTCCAAGTGTCCTTCACTCAATAATAATAGCATTTGAGTGTGATAACTATTGGTGGAAAAAAGTAAGTCACTCAAGAAAGCTCAATAACCTTATCAATTTTGGGGGATTTTCATTTATTATATTAAGTTTAAACAGAAAGAATAAGCTAATGTTTTAGATCATAATTTTCCTCTGTGTGAACATCATAACTCTTCAGGTAAAGATCTACGTGAGGCTCAGTGGAATTCCAGCTGGCACTGACCTCAGGGTCCCAGGGTGTGTATTTTACAAAGGCTGATGACAAACTCCTCTCACTCTCCAACAAAGAGACAACCAGAAAATGTGCAATACCACTGTGCTGACAGCAGAAAATGGGGGCTGGACCTAAGTAAACCTCCAGATCGTTAAAGCAGCAGAAAAAGAAGACTGTGATGC